GGGAAGTGGATGTCGTCCACCAGGGGTTTGTGGTCCAGTCAGGTCGGGAAGTGGATGTCTTCCACCAGGGGTTTGTGGTCCAATCGGGTCGGGAAGTGGATGTCTTCCACCAGGGGTCTGTGGTCCAGTCAGGTCGGGAAGTGGATGTCTTCCACCAGGGGTTTGTGGTCCAATCGGGTCGGGAAGTGGATGTCTTCCACCAGGGGTTTGTGGTCCAGTCAGGTCGGGAAGTGGATGTCGTCCACCAGGGGTTTGTGGTCCATTCGGGTCGGGAAGTGGATGTCTTCCACCAGGGGTCTGTGGTCCATTCAGGTCGGGAAGTGGATGTCGTCCACCAGGGGTTTGTGGTCCATTCAGGTCGGGAAGTGGATGTCTTCCACCAGGGGTCTGTGGTCCAGTCAGGTCGGGAAGTGGATGTCGTCCACCAGGGGTTTGTGGTCCAGTCAGGTCGGGAAGTGGATGTCTTCCACCAGGGGTTTGTGGTCCAATCGGGTCGGGAAGTGGATGTCTTCCACCAGGGGTCTGTGGTCCAGTCAGGTCGGGAAGTGGATGTCGTCCACCAGGGGTTTGTGGTCCATTCGGGTCGGGAAGTGGATGTCTTCCACCAGGGGTCTGTGGTCCATTCAGGTCGGGAAGTGGATGTCGTCCACCAGGGGTTTGTGGTCCATTCGGGTCGGGAAGTGGATGTCTTCCACCAGGGGTCTGTGGTCCATTCAGGTCGGGAAGTGGATGTCGTCCACCAGGGGTTTGTGGTCCATTCAGGTCGGGAAGTGGATGTCTTCCACCAGGGGTCTGTGGTCCAGTCAGGTCGGGAAGTGGATGTCGTCCACCAGGGGTTTGTGGTCCATTCAGGTCGGGAAGTGGATGTCTTCCACCAGGGGTCTGTGGTCCAGTCAGGTCGGGAAGTGGATGTCTTCCACCAGGGGTCTGTGGTCCATTCAGGTCGGGAAGTGGATGTCGTCCACCAGGGGTTTGTGGTCCATTCAGGTCGGGAAGTGGATGTCTTCCACCAGGGGTCTGTGGTCCATTCAGGTCGGGAAGTGGATGTCTTCCACCAGGGGTCTGTGGTCCATTCAGGTCGGGAAGTGGATGTCGTCCACCAGGGGTTTGTGGTCCAGTCAGGTCGGGAAGAGGTTGTCTGCGAGCATTGCGTGACCAACTCCGGGCGTGTGCACTGGCAGAGGCTCGGATGGAAAACCTCGTGCTGCGAACACGTGAATCGCACCTGGACGAGACTGCTGCTTCCCTCTTGGTAGACGCAGTAGTAGAAGGCTCGGGAGCAGGTTGACGTGGGGAAGACTCCCGGGTGCGTGCATGTCCCCCCGACGATCTCTTCTACACAGTCTGGAGACAAGTTTTACGAAATATTAAGACAAATAAACTAAATTTATATATATATATATATATATATATATATATATATATATATATATATATATATACATATATATATATAAATGTATATATATATATTTATATTTATACTTATATACATGTATATAAATAAATGTACAAATAAATAAACACACACACACATATGTATATCCTTTCAGACCTAGCATAGAATAAGATGTAAAAAATTCTAAACACTTATTTTCTGTATAATAACCCCATACAGATAGATAAATAAAAGAATAGACAGTTAGCTATAGATATGTTGATAGATAGATATAAAACATATGAATATAATCAGGGTTTCATTCTTTGCATAGCCAGATGAGGATAAAAGGTGTCAAAATCTTTCTTCGTTTATATTATGTTTGAAAGGATACACACACACGCACACACACACATATATGTATATATATATATATATATATATATATATATATATATATATATATATATATATATATATATATATATATATATATTTACTTATACATGTACATATACCCAACCACCCCTCCACTCGCACTCGCCCATACACACATGTATCAACACCTACCTTGCTTTTCCTCACTGAACACACTTCCTTCTGGACACTCGGCCTCTACAGCTATAATTGTGTTGTCGTCTTCAGGATAACATATGAAGTAGTGGTGCTGGCTGTAGGGATCGGGGAACACGCCCAGACTCGAACAAGCACACTCGGCTACTTCGGACTGAATGTGTGTAAAGAAATATTTTTGTTGTTGTGGTTAGAATAATTTTTATGTTGGTTGTATTGCTTATATGGTAATGGTTTAGATTCATAGTTGTGCATGTAGCTTATTAATCCTATTTCTATTAATCATTAATCCTATTAGTATATACATATATTAGTGCTTGAAGTAAAAAGCTTTTATATATTCATATCTATATACCTGCCATATCTATTAACTTATCTATCGATTTATCTATCTATCCATCTATCTATCTATATAACATGTTAAATCAATCAATCAATCAACCATTATTCAGCCTACCATACCTACCTACCTACCTAAAACACCCACATTACCTCTGGAAAGCAGGAAGCCACTCCCCCTTCCACATGACACTTAGTGCCAGAGGGGCA